CCAGGAGACTCAGATTTGGGTTCAAATCATGGCTTCAGCATCTACCAGCCACACGTCCTTGGACGTCTCAATTTCTGAAGCAACTTCTTCCTCCATAAAGTGGCCGTCAGAAAACCTCATAGGGTTGTGGCAAGAATTAAAGGTGACAATGTACATAAAAGCCTCTTCTGGAAACACCTTAGGCGTGCAATAGGAGATGGCTGGTTTTCTCGTTAGCGGGAGGAAATCGTGCCTTCAAGAACAAAGTAGACCTCCACCGAAGGGCACTCCGCACCAAGCTGAATTGCCAAGGACCTGAGCCCAGGGAAAGGCAGCAGCCCAGATTAATCCCAGGAGTGTTTCGTGCCTCTGGCCAAAGGTCAGGGCTATTCTGGAGCCTGGGGGTTCAAGGGCCCTCTGCTGGGGGGTCCTGCCTATGTCTGTGCTCTCTGTTCACACACCCTTGGCTTCAGAGACCCTGACTCTTCACGCGTCACCATCCAAGCCCGTGCTTGAGCTCTTCGTTCCTTGGCTCCTATCGTCTGTCACCCCCACGTGGAATGCCTTTCCCCTCGTCTCTCAAGTGTCCATGATGTTCTATCCACATCGTGTTGTGGTGGGGGAGCTGGGTCTCGGATGGATACTGGGGGTGCCGTGGTGGACACATGGGTGGAATCAGCCATGGAGATGAAGAGGAGAGTCGAGCGATGGCTGAGGGTGGGAGATACCAGTGGTTTAGGTTCCGAGGACAGGTGACGAACGCAGAGCCAGAGCTGGGCTAGTGCGGGGCAGGAGGAGGGGCGTCCTCATGGGGGCATCGTTAGGGGTGTGGGCCACCCCTCCACGGAGATGATCACTGAAACACAGACCCCACGTTGGGCGAATAAGCCACCAGCAGCGATTTCAAGGTCTGTCCCTGGTACGGAGGGGGCCGTGGGTGGAGATGGAAATGGAGGAGGGACCGCAGCAGCGGCCGGAGGTGGGGCGTTTTCCGGACCTATTGAGCTTCAGTGGGTCTTCTTGTAGACAAACTGGGTACCTTATAACCACCCCCAACCAGGTCTAAAAATGTAGAACCCAAGAGGACAGAGGTAGATCTCTGTAAACCACAGAGGAACGAAGACAGGGGAGGGCCTGGAGTAAGTGTACAAGAGCAACGGGAGGGTGGAGACCCGGTCCCGGGGAGGACCATCCTGAGGCAGTCACCTTCTCCCCTGGGTGCTGGGGCTCAGCTCGGATGCTGGGAAGGATCGGTGGATGGAGGCCTGAGACCCGGGGCCCGTGACCCCAGGCGGCTAGCCCTGACTTATTTCGATGGAGGTCATGAGACAGGTTTCGGTCACTCTGCCTGGGAAGCTGGGTTAGTCAGGGCCTAAGCTCAAGGACTTCGGTGGCCCAGGTCAATGTCTGCCCCAGGTGAGTCCCATGGACAGCCAGGGCCAGCTGTGCCTGTGGACACTGGGTGGGTAGGCGAGCCCGCGGGAGATGTCTCTTTACCACCCTAATTGCCTCTCAGGAGAGGGAGCAGGGAGAGAGGTTGCCGGTGACTGACCTGCATTGTCCTTGGGGAGACCGCATAATGAGGGGAACAGTGAAGCTAATGGTCTGGCAGGCAAATGGGTAGGGGGTACGTGGGTTTTTCTCCAAGTGCTGGTTGAAACATATTTTCCTGGGCCCCCCCTCAGACACCGAGCCAGAGTTTCCTGAGTGGAGCTGCCCACGTTAGTGAAGTGGAGGGAAAGAACCCGGCCCGTGCTTGTTTGGAAACCTCTCGGGATGCGGCCCCTTGCACTGGACTGAGGACTTCGCAGACTAAAGGCAGACCGCTTCTCCGCCGGACACCGCAGCGGGGCCCTCTGGAGACAGAGCCTGGGCCACGGGGACAGAGGCAGACTTAGGCAACTGCGGTGAAGAGGAAAGTAGGTGGGCGAGCAGGTGAGGGGGCGTAGGTCCGGGTTACACAGAGCAGGCGGGCTGCTCATATTTCTCTGCGGGGCAGCCCCGAGCTTTGGGAAGGGAGGCTGTGAAGTGAGGTGCGGAAAAAGACCCACTGTCTGGCCCCGGCGTGGCCACTCACCAGCTGTGTGGTCTAGGCAAGTCGGATCTGTCTTCTCTCCTGGAGAAAGGAAGCTGGACTAAATCAGGGATGGGCCACCTTGACGGAACATTGTGTCTGGGAATTTGACAGAGAAGCTGTGCTGGGGCCCTAATTCAGACCAATAAGATCAGACTCTCTGGGCCTGGGACCTGGCCCTGGGTCTTTAGTTCTCAGCCACTGAAAGACGGTGCTTTTCAGCCAGAATCTCTGGTCCCCGCCAGCTAAAAGGCCAGGGGAGATGAGCTCGGCTTCTTTCCACCGGCACTTACTTCCTTGTCCCACTTAGTTCGAGGAGAACTCACTGGCTGAAAACATTTGCACAACTGCAGATGCCCTACGCACTTTGGCAACACTCGAAGTGACGAATGAACTGAGTTTTGAATCAGGGCTGAGGTGACAGGAACACCAACATTTTCAAGCAGTGCTAAATTTCAGGAGTCTGTGCAAGGCTGTGCAATATGGTTGGCATAGAGAAGGAGGGACAGAGACACCGAGATCCTCGCCTTACCGACGACCAAGTCAGTAAGAAACACAGTTTGCCATTAACAGATGTATGTATATATATGTATATATATATGTATATATATTTGTATATGTATTTCTGATATATATAGTATATTTCTGATATCTAGATATAGATATCAGAAATATTCGAGGGCCTAAAGCAAGTGAGTCCGTCAGTAAATGGAGAATCCCCTGGACAGATAACTTTTCAGTGTCAGTCTCACCTTCATAAGACCAGGTTATCTCCAGCTCCTGATCCCTGTACATAGTAGAACATTGCTAAGAACGTGATGCGATCAGTTGAGCAAAAAAATCCCAATTTATTTACTTTCTTAAGTCTTAACTATTTTGCGGTAAATTCATTCAACATAGTGTTGGTCACCTATAGTCAAGTTATTGATTTATAGAACCTGAATCAAAATGAGGAAAATATGATACGATGGAAAAGGATGTGGACTTCAGAGTCTGAAATATTCTAGTTTAAATCCCAGGTTTGTCCCTCACTAACTGTGTGAGCTTGGACACATTCATAGACGTCTACCCTGCGTCGGTCACTTGGTCTGTGAAATGGGGATGACAATGTCGATTTGCCTACTTTGCAGACATGCTGGGAAGATTAAAGGGATCATGTATGTGTGGTACCCGACACATAACAGGCATTCAGAAAATAGCAGTTCTAATCAAATTATTGATCTTTTCCCAGCATATGTATGATGACGTTTCACATGTGATCTAACCTACTTCTTAGTAGTGCAGTGAAGAAAACATCAATTTGCCCACGTCACAGATGTTGAAACTGGGGTGCTATCCCTTGAGCCTAGGTAATCTCACTCCAAGTCCCCTGCTCTTCCCATCACATTGTCTTGACCAGAGAGGGGCAGTGCCAGGCCAGTAGGCACCAGGGATGGTTGTCTCTGTCCTTTGGGGAGATAGCAGATTATAGCTGGAACATCTTCTAGGTGATGACTGGGGATTTAGGTCACGGAAGAGGTGCACGGTGAAAGCTCCATGTCAGCGAAGAGTGACAAGTTCTGGACATCCCTGGACAGCATCACACGTACACCAAGCTCTGCACGCAGTCTGTTCCGCTGGGAGCTGCTGGCTAAGGCACCAGTTCCTGCAGGGAGGTGCCCTTTCAATGTAAACGACGTAAAGAATCAGCTCCACAGACCATTTGAAAACACGTCACATTTTATTAAGAACATCTCCAGCGCTCGGAAGGGAGGGAACAAGGACTGCGGGCGTGAGGACACAGCCCAACCCCAACGTTCGCTTCGTTTTTTACTACTTGTTTGTTTTTACAGTGAACAGTTACCTCTAGGTAACAATGAACGACGCCTGTTCTCGCAGCACAGACGTTCACGTTCACAAGTCTGAATACACAAAATGGGCGTGTGTGAGAGGATGCTGGTGAGAACCAAGGGGATTCTGCTCCGTCCCAAAGCTCCTCACCCGACAGGACCAGGCCAAAGCTGCCTGTGCAAGGATATGGAGAAAGGGCATTTTTTAAATCTTAAAAATGATCAATAGAATTTTTTTTTAAAATATGAAGGGCACATGGAAATCAATTCATTTTAAAAAGGTAGGATTCCAGGCGGAATATGGGCAAAAGGCATGTACACATATAATTTACATGGAAATAGCTTTTTAAAAAAACCTAGAAAGCTCTGTAATCTCATTAGTGATCAAATACATTTAAAATAGTTCCCCATGAAAATGAGATACTCTTTTTGCCCATAAAGTTAGCAAAAGATGTCTAATTGTAACGACTAGACCAAACACTGATGACAGGCTTTCGGGCCAGGTGATGTCAATTAGTACAGACTTTCAGAAAAACGATTTGGAGCCTTCAAAAAAGTCGATATCCTTTGACCCGGTAATTCCACACCTGGGAATCTATCCTAAAGAAGTCATCTGGAGTTCGGGGTGGGGGAGAGTTTAAAGAAAAATGATGGAAACCATCTAAATGGTCAATAAGAGTGAAATAGTGCAGTAGATTATTTTATATTCTCATAATGTATTATTTTGGTATTAAAAATAGGTTTATGAAGATCTGGAGATCAAGAGGGGAAATTCTCATATTGTTAAGTTTAAAACAAAAAGATGTGTATAAGGATGACATCCACTATCAAATGATGAGGAAAATCCGTTTGATGGGAAACACATCAAACCGCTAACACGAGTTATGTCTGAGTGGTGGGGTCCTGGGTGACTACGTTTCCCTCTTTCCAATTTTTTGCATTTTATAATTTTTTCTATTACCCTCTAAAATATATATATGTAAATGAAGGAGCCCTGGCTGGGTAGCTCAGTTGGTTAGAGTGTTGTCCCAATACACCACGGTTGTGGGTTCAATCCCCGATCAGGGCACATACAAGAATCAACCGATGAATGCATAAATAAGTAGAACAACAAATCGCTGTCTTTCTCTCTCTCAAATCGATTTTTTAAAAAATTAAAAATAAATTAATCCAGGAAATACACTTGGACTTTTGGGGCTGAGAACAAACCTTGTCCAGAGACCCTGAATGTATCTGCTTCTCCCTGAATTTTTGCACATCTGCAGAGTCACCAGATATATTCAGGATCAGAGAAAAGCACCTCGAAGTCGAACGAGGTGAGTGCCAAGAGAGGCCAAGGAGAAAAATAACAGGAGATCAATAGGCAAAAGAATGAGAGAAACACTTGCTAGCAAAAAACAAACACACAAACAAAAACCCTCCTGGAACATTTCCGTCAGTCCCGCCCTCCTGGCGCAGCGGGCGGGGGAGGGGCGGCTGACCTGGGACAACAGGTCGGCTGTGAGGTCGCCCCTCACACGGTGCGGGGACAGGCCGGAGGGCCCGCTGAAGCTCCAGCACTGAGAACCCAGGGCAGCGAGGTGCCGCTGTGTCCTTGGCACGTCCTGGATCTTCCCCCCACACTCTTGGAACATCTCCAGGGGGCCGCGCCCCCTCAGGCTTGTAGACAAAATACGAATAAAACCGGAGCTGCAGACTCATGGCCACCTCGCAGCTGGGTCTCTAGAAATCTAAATCATCTTGGCCAAAGCCATCTGTCCTGCTCAGGGCAAGTTTTCCAAACCTCACTTCTGGCCTAGAGAGACTTTTCACTCCCTTCTCAGCGTCTGAGTCAGAGCCTTGGCCTGCGCTGGGCTCTCCGGTCAGACCTTCCTCTGTTCCTTGCTCAGAAATGGAGCTTGCTGGGTACATGTCCGTGACTTTTCTCCCTGAACCAGGGACTCCCTTGGGCTCGTCTCCGAAGGTCCAAAGGCCTCCACTGGAAGGCTCGTCTTTGGAGCCTTTCTGGGAGAGCTGAGAGCAGTTTCCCAGGGACGAGGCTCTGGACGAGGAGAGGCCGGGCTTTGGGCCTGACCTTTGGCCGGGGGTGTCTCCACCTGGGGCGGGGGGAGGTGTGGGCCCCCCGCCCTGGTCTGGGCTGCTGTGTCCAGAAGCCTCACCCGACTGGCCTTGTCTCGGGCCAGCCTGTGGACGCCCTTCTTTCTCACCTTGATTTCCTCTTCCTGACTCTGGCTGCTCCTCTTCTGCAGTTTCCTGGACCTCTGTGGTGTCATTCTGTCCTCCTAGACTTTGTTCAGCTCTTCCCAAGGCTTTACTCTCCACACTGACCTCAGCCCCGGAGCCCTCTGTCTCTTCCTTGTCGCCTCCACCCTGCTCCTCCCGCTGCACTGTCTCCGGGTGGTGGCCGACACAAGGCCGTGCGTTCCCCCCTTTCTTCTGAGTGGCTGCGTCCCCCTCTCCTCCTCCCGGATCTTCTCCTCTGCCTGGGGTCTGCCTGCCCTCGTCCTCATCCTCATCCCCCTCCTCTGCCCCAGGGCCCCGGGCTAACTGCAGCTCCAGGCCTCCATCAGCTCCCTGGACAGTCCCTGTCCGCGAGGGGTCTCTCTGAAGGGGCTCCTGCCCTGTCTTCTCAGGGGCCATCCCTGCTGTCTCCCCATTAGCACATCCCCTTTTTTTCTTCTGCAGAATTTGCTGCAGGTCAAAGGCCTCTTTGATGGGTGCACTGGCTCTGCCCACTGTGTCCTTCGGGGACACAGGGATCACTTTCTCCCTTAGGCAGGTCTCGCAGGGACAGAACGCCCCCCCGTTGGCCTCCCCACCCAGCTGGGTCCCCGGGGCTCCACTGAGGTTTGGCACGTCCTCCAGAGAGAGGAAGGGGGGGCCCCAGGCCCGGGTCTGCTCGGAGAAGGCCGCGAGGTGGCGCAGGCCCCGGAGGCGATGCCTGCGCTGCTCTGTTTGCAGGGTCGTCTCCCACCTGAGGGCTGCCCCGGGGGGCCCCGGCGCCCTCCTCCCAGCCCGGCTCTGGATCTTTCGGAGCTCTTTATCCGTGCTGCCTTGGAGCCGCCTGCTCACGTCCTGCTGCAACTCAGCCACCATCCGGTCCAGCAGGTCGCTGCTCAGCAGGCTCCAGCGGGCTCGGAGCTCAGCCATGGCACTGGCCAGGTCGGCCAGGAAGGCCTGCTCCATCTTCCTCAGCAGCCTGGACACCCAGAGGGGGTCAGGGTCCAGAAGCCCGCTGTGAGCCGTAGAAGGGCCCTTCTCTCCAGTCCCCTGGGTGAGCTTGGCCTGGGTTTGCTTCTGGTCTGTCTCAGCTGCGCTGGGCAGCTTCTCCAAACCAGGCTCCGCGCTGGGGCCACGTTGACGCCCACTGGCATTTGAGTCTCTCTCAGTGAGGCTCCCAAGGGTCTCTGTCCTTTTTCCTCTCCTCGCTGGAGGGCACAGCGCGTTGGAGGCAGGGTGTCTTCCTGCTGCCTCTTCCTGGACACGCTCATCTTCCCGCGCACCCTCCCCGGGCGGAGAGCCGGTCCCTGGCTCTTGTCCCGCGGCGCTTTCCTCTTCTGGAAAGCCACTGACACCTTCTCCCTGCAGTTCTGTTGCCTCTTTCCCTTCTTTCATCTTCTCTGACTGCACTGCCTCTTCCTGCGTCGTGTTTTGAACTGCTTGGTCCAGGTTGCTGCCCAGCGTCGGCTCCCCACTGCTTCCTTCTGCCTCGTCCTTCCTGGCGGCCCCGGCCCCGGCGCGAGAACTCGAAGAGGCCCTGGAGTCACTTGGCTGCTGGTTTCCCAGTTCCTCCGGGGTCCCTGAGGTTCTGGAGTCAGGCCTCTGGCAGGGGATTTCCAAGGGCAGCTCTGTCCTCTCAGAGACCAGGGCACAGTCCACGGCACAGGGTCCGCTGCCCTCCCCGGAACCTACAGAACCGCTCCTGACATCCACACCAGAGGAGGACGTTGGTGTGAGGTCCTCAGTCACAGCGTGGGACCTGAGACCTGGCAGGGCCTGGCACCTGCCGACCTCCCGGACGCCTGAGTCCAGCTCGCCCCGCCCGAGGCCACGCCCCGGCCACAGGGCCTGCAGGTTGCTCAGGAGCTCCTGGTACCGAGGAGAGTCTGTGAACCTCACTTTGCCGGCGGGAGACCCAAGGTCTGCATCAAAGAAGTGGAGCCTGGCGAGACAGGAGATGAGGGCCTGGGCAGAGTGGCTGAGCCTCCTGCCCACCGGGCCGGACACTTCGGGCAGGCTGCTGGGCCGGCCCTGCTTGGAGCCCACCAGCGCTTTCATGATCTGTATGGAGGCAGAGACCCGGTGGGGAAGCACGCACTGGCCCACGCCACAGTCCCCAGCTGCTCCTTCGCCTGCCCCAGCCTCCTTGGGGGCTTCCACAGCCCCGCTGTGGGGAGGACCCTCTCCTGCCTGGGGACCCGCATCACCAGTCACTGGGGGGGCCCCCTCTGGTTCTGCTTTTTCACTGGCAGCCCCTTCCAGGGACGGTGGACTGGCCTGAGTTGGCTCCTGCAGACCTTCCAGGGGATGTTTGTCCACAGGGTCCTCCGTGGGGCCTTCCAGGCCGTCCCCAGACACATCCGTGCTGTCATCCTCCACCTCACGTTTCATGGGCTCGGGCTCCTCCGGGATGTTGCTCAGCCACTCTCGGACCACGGCTTCTGGTGAGGTTCGGGGCAGAGCCCCTGGCGTCATCACACGACCATTGTCCTCTTGCTCCTGCAGGCTTTCCCCTCCTCCAGTGACCTGCCCCTGGATCATCCCGCCAGGCTGGGGACCTAGGCTGGGGCTGCCCCTTCCCGCTGCTCTGACTGCTGTCCCTGTGCCCCCTGACTGAGCGCCAGGGGGCCGTGGGCGCTGCGCGTCTAGGGGTTCCTCCCCTGGCTCGGTGCCCCCTGGCACCCAGTCGGCACTGTGGTCTCCACAGCTGCTGGGCGAAGGGTGTTTCTTGGTAGAGGGCCGTGCCCTGGGTGGAGCGGGACAGTACCTGCTGCACCCCACGCAGGCCCCAGAGAGGGGCCCCTGGCAGCCCTGAGGCTGGGAGGCCTGCAGGGCCCGCGTCTCACCACCAGGGGTCCTGCAGACCCGGGATGTGCCCATCTGTGAGGAGCAGCCCCCGGGGTGGGCTCCTGGCTTCCCCTCTGCATGCTGTCCAGCCAAGAGCTGGGAGGGCTTGGGACCTTCGCCCCCTCCCTTTTCACCCAGGCCGAAAGCTGGGGGGCTGAAAGAGTCTGATGCGCTGGAAGGATTCCCTTCGGTCTCAGCGGACGGAGACCACGGGGGGTAGACATTGGAAGCACAGCCTGAATTGCTCCCCGGTGTAAGGGGGGCACTGCTGACCCATCGTGTGTCCTGGGAATGAAGAGAGGCAGAGGAGGGTGGCTCTGGGCCCCGAGAGGCTCTGTTTCTGACGCCAGATGAGCTTCTAGAGAAGTGTGGTGCTGGGTCGGCCGGGCAGACCCTGCCTGTGGTGGGGGGCCCCAGCATCCGCCTGGACACAGGTGAGTCGCGGGGGCAGTGGGTGTCCCTGCGGCTGTGATGCTGCCTGGGGCCGCCCCGATGGGCCCCTGGGCCAAGGCCAGAAGTGCTGGGTGAGGACGCAGCTGTAGCTCTGCCCTCCTGCTCTCTCCTGCCTGTAGCTGAGGCGCAGGTCGGGGATGGGGAAGAGCCTTCTGCAGTGCCCCCAGAGGCAAAACGGCCCAAAGACAGGGGCAGTCTCATCCCAGACCCATCCCTGGCCTGGGGGTGTCCAGTGCCCTGTTCACTCCCTTCTGCCTGTGGGTCCTCGTTCCTCAAAGGTGAGGGATTGATGGTGAAGGAACAGGGTCCTCCTCCATGGGAGGTCTTCCATGGGGAGGTCTCGGCCCTCGTCCTGCTGGGGCAACCCTGGTGCTGCTCACCCCTTTCGCTGAACTCATGAGACCCGGCACTCGCTGAGGAGTCAGAAAGAGCACTGGCCATGCCTTGGGCCCTGGGTTCCAGGGAGCAGTGGTCCCTGCTGCCTGGCCCTGCTCCCTCTGGACCTGGGCCTTCCGCAGCCCAGGATGTGCCGCCAGCTTCCCGCCCTGATCCGCTCTGGGAGGCATCGCCAGAGGCTGGATGCAGGCCCACGCTGTCGTCTGGGGTCCTGGAGCAGCAGCAGGAGTTTGGCTCAGAACCTTTGGGTGATCTGTCACTGGAGACAGGGCTGACGCTGTCCTTGCTGCTTCTTCTCCTGCCGGCCACCCTTTGGCTCCAGGGACTCCTGGTGGGGGAGTGCTGGGTCAGCCTGGCCCTCCTCCAAGAGGCTGTCCCCTCTCCCTGGGCGGTGTACAGGGGGTTCGTCCAGATCTCATATCTGGACCCTGGCTGCCACCGGCCTCGTTCAAAGCCTTCCTTGCATCCTGCCTTTTGGGTCCCCAGTCCCTGTGCCCCTGGCTCTGAGGAGCCCCCAGGGTGGCCCTCCCACACATAGCAGAGGGGGTCCCCCTCCCCCTCCCCACTGGCCCTTCCGACTCTCCTGGACCACAGGAGCGTGTCATTGCCTAGCAGGTGGAGGCGAACTTTCATCTCCACAGACAGGCTGCCATCCTCGTTCAAGTGGACCTTCTTCTCGACGCCATCACCGGCCACCAAGGGGCCCGGCTGGGCAGGTGTGTCCTGAGGGTGCCTGTCGGGAGCAGGGCCCATGCAGGTGCGATGCGGGGACACCAGGGGCTCGCTGAGACCGGACCTCTCGGACAGCAGGGAAAACCGCCGTGGCCTGCTGCCCGACCCGGACCGCGAGTGGATCACACTCTGCTTGGCCTTCGGGCCCCAGCTCCCTGGCACGCAGTGAGGAGTAAGAGGAAAGAGGAAAAGACAGTGAGCTGCTGGGGGAGCTTCAGGGCGGCAGCAAAAGGCTGGGCATGAGCCTTTCACCCCTAAACACCCCTGTCGCCTCCAAAACCACAGTCAGGGCAGAAACCATCCTAGAACAAATATCCCCAGCCTGCTGTTTGAGAACCAGCATAGCAAAGCAAGATGAACTTGAAGTCTGGGTTCGTCTGGACCCTGCCTCTTCCTAGCTGTGTAGCTTTTGGCAGAGACTCTTTTTCTGAGCTGTAAAATAAGAGTAATGGTATCTATTTGGAAGTGTGTTTGAACAATGCAGGGCAATGCATATAAAACTTCCTGGAAACAAAAGAAAAACTTCCTGCAGAATTGCTAGCACAAAGCGGGTTCTCAATAGACAGCAGAGGTGGTGGGCAGAGCAGCAGTGCCCAGAGCTAAGTCCTAGCCCTGCCCACGCCCACCCCCAGCACAGGAAGCAAAATCAATAAGCTGCTGCCTACGAACCTGGTTGTAAACTGTAAAATGCTTTGCAATTATTAGTGGTGATTTATCATCCTAACACTCATCAAGCGTTGGGGTTGATAAATGATTGCAAGGAAGGACCTGGACACACAATAGCAGGTCCTGATAGTCAAACCTGCACCCCAGCCATGCAAAAGAGAAGAAGAAGCTACTGTGGATTTAAAAAAAAAAACCTCAAGAAAGAATGAAGCCTCTATTACTTCTAATTTCATCTCCTGAGCTAACACTTGACAAGAGAAAGGCGCTAGTGGAGGGTGAGCTTATGGCCAGAAAAAGAATAGGCCACCATGATTCCATCTGAGCAGGACGGGGTTTCATCAAGCTCTGCCCATTCGTAAGCACCAAAGGGGACAGGGCGCTCCTCCAGAGAGGGACTGTGGTTGATGGTCTCTGTACCTCCGGTACCTGGCCATCATTGTCATTTCTTAATAGCTTTCCACAAAGAGTATTATTTTGTGTACTTGCCAAAATTTGCCCATTGTCATTCCAATAGTTTTGCTGAAACTCTTATTCTACAGTTATTAATTGTGCTTTCAAAATAGTGTGTGGTGTGTGTGTGTGTGTGTGTGTGTGTTTAATAACAAAGCCTAAACGCTGGCACATAGTAGGCCTTTGGATGGATATATGGCTGGATGTTTAGACTGATGGGTTGGATGGATGATTGATGGGTATCATTAGTTTCGGTCCATTTGGCCCCCACTATTGTCTAAGAGACTCATGACTCTTGAAAGAGACCAATGCCACATACCCATGGCCCACTGCCTCCGTAATCTCATGTCCAACATCGTCCTTAATAAAGCTTTAGGTACTGGAAATTTGGAGTTCAAGATCTCCTAATCCCCATTCTCTGAACGCCGGCCTCCCCTCTCCCACACCCCAGGCACATGTTCAACCCAGTTCAGGTTGATGGCTATGGGAAGACGAGGACGGGGTGAGGGAGACCCTACGAACTGGAGCCAAAGGCATGTTTCCTAAATTATCTAGAAAGAATACCCGCCCGACTCTCCTGAACCACTATTCAGTGCAAATAACACTGAGGAAACTCACCGTTTCTGTTCCTCGAAGTTTGTCCCGACCGAGTTTCAGTCCCACTCCCGGCACCTTCCCTTGCCGGACCGAAGGCCTCAGGACCGGCACACACCAGCACCGAGGGGCAGTGCAGTAGAGCCTTCAGAGAATTCACCTGAAGAAGGGGAGCGCTGAGTCAGGGGGCCTGGTCTGCAGAACCCCCTTTCTGCTCGGGGGGACACAGGTGGAGGAAGATTCTCTTCACTCTGGCCCTTTCCTGCTTGTCCATCTCACCCCAGATTTCTGATCCAAAGGAAGGATCCCATCCACTTACCATAATATCTCCATAACCAGCTGAGGACTGAGGTCCTACCACCATGATCTACCTCTACACCCTCCTGATACGAGGTTCGTGGTTTAGAGGCGATTCTGGATCCTCAGCTGGAACAGACTTCATGAGCCTTTGGTCTGCTTCCCTGCCACACTTGCGCCCTCCAGAATAGGCGATTTTTAAAGCAACCGATATGGAGACGATCTCACCCTTTCCCCAGGCAGAGTCTCCTCTTGGGTCGGATTCCTGTTTTCCATTGTAACCTGAGCCCGTCAGCTCGTCTTCTGCCCCTAGTAAAGCGGAGAAGGGCCAGGCACTGTGCTCTGCACAGGCAGCCCCTCTGTCCCAGGTTCCTCCAAGGGTTCTCCAGGCTCCTGCCCAGACACTGTGTCACCCTCCCCGCCCACCCCCACTCCCACCGGCAGGATGTCCTGGGCCAGGAGTTGAACAGGCAACATCAGTGCTGATTGCACTTTAGGAAACAGGTCCCTGCTTTTAGAAAAATCTCACCTGGCCCTGAGGCCCCCCGAATATCTGAGGGTTTGCACTATTTATAGCATTACATCGTAATGAGCAGTGTTGGGGAATTTAGTTCCATCTTTAAAGTGCTGAATCTGTTCTTTTTCATTTTCTCAAATTAGAAGGGTATGTTCATTAACAAGAAAATAGAGAGAGAACACTTTCACCTCCTCCTCCCAAAACGACATTAAGTGTGCTGTCCACCAGATCTTTCAACCCAGTTAATTAAAAGTTTGTTTCAAACTACCAGGTACATTTCTCTTTTGATTTAGATCTCTGGTCCATCGTAAAAATGCAAACGTGACCCAATGCTATCAGTTTATAGGTGTAGCCTGCTTCTAGAAAATCGGAATGTTCCAAGGGAGAAAACAGAATTGGGAGCTAAATGATGCTTCCATTTTAGCCGGCTGGTGTGGCTCTGTGGATTGGGTGTCGCCCCATGGACTGAGAGGTCCTGGTTTGATTCGGGGTCAGGGCACGTGCCCAGGTTTCGGGATCGATCCCCAGTGGGGGGCATGCAGGAGGCAGCTGATGGATGTTTCTCACATCAATGTTTCCATCTCTCTCCTCCTTCCTCTCTAAAGAAAAAAAAAAAAAAACCAACAAAAACACATTTAAAAAAAATAAAATAAATGATGCTCCCATTTCAGAAAGAGGCAGAAGTCTAGGACCATTGAGAGCATCCATCCAGTAGAGGACCCAACAACCAATAATCATGAGGTTACTTTGTTTACAGAAACGCTGATAGCTCTGTAGTAAGCCTATATAAAAATATGCTAATTTTTTTCCAATTAATTAATTTTGCTTCTGCTGTCTCCCTCTCACCACACTCACTCAACCACAGCCAGTTGACAGCAGGGACCTAGCCTTCTTGGTCTGTGACATCTGCCTGTAGCATGTGCTAGAACACAGCACACACACCTCCACTTAGAAATGTTCTTCCATTACCACTCTGAGGTCACTAAGGCTGGTCCTATCACTGCCCAGCCACACCACTGCGAGCAAGTCACTTACCTCTGTGCCTCCCTTTTCCCATCTCTACAAATGCTGTTTTAACGGCCTCGCGAGCCTGTGTGGTGGAGGCTATGCCCTGGACCTGTCAACACCTATCCCACTCTCTTTCTGGTGTGTGTCCAGCGCTGCAGGGCTTGGAAAGCGCTAAACCCGTTTTTGAGAGATGGTGGCAGCGCCGGCGGCAGTGGCCAGCCCGCCCCTGTGCCCCTGCGTGTCCAGGTGCAGATGCGTCCGTTTCCAGATCCCGGCTTTGTAAGCCTGGACGCCGCAGCTGAGAAGTCGGTGTGAGCTCAGTAATCCCAGCAGCTGCAGGCAGAGGTAGAGGCTTCCTGCAGAGGGCTGGGAGCTTTTCCTGTAAAGCCAGGCTTTACCCTCCAGACAGCCAGAGATCCGGCAGCCTCTTAGTGCCCTGCATTGAACTGCTTTCTGCTCAAGGTACCCCGAGTAGTGTCCGTGTCCTGCACTCAACTCTCACGGCAATAGATTGAATAATTGGAGAACTGGATTAGAAAATAATGAAAGTGGGCAAGGCAGTGTCCGGGACTCACCTAGTGCTCGCTACATGGTAGCTAATAATATGAATAACAATTGCTTTATTAACCGACTGAATGTCTCCACTCTATCCACTTTTTAAAAAAAATATTTTTTCTATATTTAATTTTAGAGAGAGAAGGAAGAGGAAGAAAGAGATAGAAACATTAATGAGAGAGAACATCAATTGGCTGCCTCCTGCATGCCCCCCACTGGGGATCTGGTCCACAACCTGGGCATGTGCCCGACTGGGAATCAAACTGGCGACCTCTTGGTGTGTGGGTTGGCGCTCAACCACTGAGCCACACTGGCTGGGCGTATCCACTTTTAATTAATAGCAGGGCAACAGTGCCTCTTTTTTTTTTTTTTCAATCCTCACCCAAGGATCTTTTTCTATTTATCTTCAGATAGAGTGGGAAGGAGGGAGAGACAGGGGGAGAGAGAGAGACAGAGAGACAGACAGAGAGAGAGAGAGAGAGAGAGAGAAACATCGATGTGAGAGGGACACATCAACTACTTGCCTCCTGCACAACCCGACCAGGGCCAGGGATGAACCGCAACCGAGGTGCATGCCCTTGATCATTATGAAACCTGCGACTCATTGGTTTGTGGGCTGACACTCTAACCACCAGGGCAACAATGCCTCCTTTTAAGGATAACCTCCCCATCCCATCTAAGTATCCACGGTCCGAGAACTTTGTAAGACAATGCCATGCCCCAGCAGCCTACCTTTACCCCATCGGGCGTGTACAGCTGCTTCACGGGAAAGTGCAGAAGGCCTGAGGCTTTGCTGAGAAAGGCCGACAGGCTCCTCGTATCTCTGCGACTGAGAACCACTGTCCGCTGGAATCGAGGGTCCCCATTCTTAACCAACTTTACCCTCCTTGGGGCTTTAGGATTTTTCTGGCAAGAGGATGTTTCTGGTGCCTCACACTGGTCTTCAACATCCTGAGACTGCTGAGCCGAGGGGCTCCTCCCCTGCGGCCGGCCGGGCCCACTGGAGGTCTTGGGGAGCTTCCTATCGGAGCAGAGGTAGCAACCACCATCTTCCAGCTGCTCCAGGGCACTGAGGCCGTGCAGGCCCCGGGGCGTGGTGACGGAGCGCACCCCGAAGGAGAGCGGCACGCGCTGGGAGAGCTCATCCATCAGCGTGCCGAAGCTCTTGAAGGTGCGCTGGTGGACAGCCAGGCGAACCCCGGAAAAGCGGGGATCCCCTTGCTTGAGGAAAGTTATCTTCTTGGCTGGCGTGACCTGGGTGACAGAGGGGGTCCGGGCCACGGAAGGCAGGAGGCACTCGCGGTAGCTTGGGGCCTGGGCATCCCTCCGGGTGCTGTTCATGGCGTGGGGGCCCAGGCAGCTGAAACCGATCAAAGGAGAGAGTCAGAGAGCCGCCGGGAGATTTGGCAATTCCTTCCTTCTCTTTGCTGCAAGGTGCTTCCTGCCCACTGCAAATGTGTTCCACTCTGCTCGGTAGAGGCAGGTTAATCCATTTTGGTGGAATAGAAGGAAGGCCAAAGGTTTGGCATTGGCCAGATCTGAGTTCAAATTCCACCCAACTCCCTTACTCCGTGTGACCCAGGAGGTGAATGGCATGCTCTGTGTTTGGGGGACCCGCCTGTCAGATGGAGCCACGTTCTGTCTGCAGAGTGGACACGGTGAACAAATGAGTCTATGCATATAGAGCACCAGGCACAGAGCAAGCACCAATACATCACGATTTCTTCCCTTCCCCTTGCTGTTTCTCTTACCCGATTCTACCACCTGAACTCCTTCAAATGCCTTAGGGTTTATCTCCTAAAGAGGTGGGTACATAAAGGGAAGAACATGGAAGATGCAAGGACACGGGGCGAGCAGTCAGGAGGCCTGGGCACCTTGCCTACTCTCTCTTAGTGCCAAGTCTTGTGTGTGGCCCTGGGGGATGCCCAGCTCTCTGGACTTTCATCAGTCCACTACCAGGTGAGAGGGCTGGAGCAGAAACCCTCTGTCCCAAACCCTTCTGGGACAGGAGTGCACACAAGGAGACTTGTAACCCAAAGAGGATGTCACCGCTGGATGTTGTGTGCTTTCTTCATTGTGCGGTGACGTTTGCTTTCATATGAAAAGAATGCTCCTCCTCACATCCCTCCAGAGTCTTTGGAAGATGTGGGATGAACCCTACGGGTGAGTACCATGCCATGCTCTGTTCTGTGTACCTGCTGGCCACGTTGTCCCGAAACCGAGCTTTTACCCAGGTATTTCCTGTGCTCCAAGACCTTCAGGAGGTTTATGGTGTCTGCAGTTAAAGCCCAGGCCCCTCACCTCACAATCTGAGGCCTCTCCGGCTTCCTCCTGTCTGCACCCTAGGCCTCAGCTCCTGCTCCTTCCTATAGGAATTCTCCACCCAATCAGGCTGCCTGACCAGGTCTCCTCCTGCAGGGTGAGCTCCACCCTTCTGCACCCCGCTTTGGCTTCCCTCCTTTGTGGAGACTTCCCCATCCCCCCAGTCAGAGGCAACTCCCATGTTCCGCGTCGTTCCCTGACATTTCCCGCATCCTGGGCTGTATCCTTCCTGGCCAACTAACCCTAGGGTGCCCAGCCCCAAGCTTGGCATGCAGCAGGGACCCAGGAAATCCATACTGATTCATAAGGCAGGTATTCCCAGAGCCTCATGCAGAGCCCAGGCCTGTCAATAAGCTGACACTTGAGTAATTACGGCCAAGTGAGGAGCGGCCCCGCTTCCACGTGGTTCAGACCACGCAGGACGCCCATTCCTGTGCGTGCTCACTGCAGATGACAGTGGCCTTCCTTGCAGCAGCCATGACCCCTGCTTGCAGCTCCTCCAGCAGCCACGTCGCCTTCCTTACCTGCCTCTCTATTTACCCGATTCCTCACACGGGAAAGGATTCTCCTCTCATTTTCAAAATCTTGGTGCACAGGGAGGCCTGGTAATCCTCTCTCATCTCTGGCACAAACTTTATAATTAGCTTCTCCAGCCTCCTCCCCCCAGCTAATTCCTTCTAAGCAGCTTTCTCAGACCTCCCGCTGACAGCCCTGCGGGGCCTGCGCTGTTACTCCGAGCCTTCCCCAGGACTCCCTTTTCTTCCCAGGTGACTTCCGTTCTCACTGTGACAATGAGCATCCTTCTTGGCCCTCACTGAGGAACCAAGAGGAAAAAGAAGGGACACTGGGGGGGGCGGTGCACAGTAACACTAGGGGGCCATGTCCCCTGTAATCATATTTCCCAGCATCATTGTGTCTCTCAATGTCACTGTGTCCTTTGGTGTCACTGTGATGCCCCCAGTGTTGCCATGTCCCCAGCCTCCCTGCTGCCTCCAAGGGTTTCTGCTCCTTGCAGCCCATTTCTGGGCAGAGAGGGTCTCTCCAGGACCCTCTCGGACAGCAGCTCTGCAGGGCGAAGGAGAGTGCTCAAGGGCAAAGCAGGGACCTGGCCCGCACAGGTCTGTGGCTCCTTGAGGACCCAGGCAAAAGCATAACATCACAACGTACACTTAAGTGGCCGACTGCCGCTGTCTGCTGGCATTTCATAGAAAATAACACCTTTCCGAATTGGAATTCTCAACTGGACTTTTAAGATAAAAAGAGAAGTGTCCCCCAAGAGATCCTAAGTACCAAAAATCAGGCTGATAGCAGCCAGGGTCCACCATGAAGACTCCCTCCCAACATGAGACCAAGCACAGGGCCCCAAGCGAAGTTACTGATCATCTCTCTGCTAAATGTGAGAGCCTGCGCTCACGTAACTGCGCTCACATAACTGACAAGATCCTACATTCACTTTAGATGGTTCGCATACATGCACACACACAGCATATACACAAATGCGGGGCACACACACACATGCACACAAATTAGAAAAATGTAAGACCGAAGAGAAGGAGCTGAAGGATCCAGGGTGGCCTGGACCCATTAACTGTGACAGGTGACTATAAAGATCCCCCCACTCTTCACAGGAAGATGAGGTGCTTGCTCTTCAGCTTCATCAATAAAAACTAACAAGTTCAACTTCATCCCCATGACGGGCCATGGAGAAGTATGACCTCCTCTTGCAAACATGTGGAAGAGAAAAGTAAGTTGATTTTTTTTTTTTTCAGAGAGGCTTAATGGACTTTTGATTCTTTCATTCTCAAAACAGCCTGGTCCCACCAGGTTATTCACTTGTTCAGTCACTCGTTCATTTGCTTGTCTGTGTACCAAACAAAGGTTCTGAGCAGCTACTGCGTACCAGGCTCTATGCTGAGTCCTGGAAATACAAAGATGGCTGAGACATAGCACCCATCTTCAAAAAAGTCATATTCTAGTGTGACAAGTAGATACAGTATTAAAGTGTAGCATAAGAAATGTTCTGAGGTACAGATATAAAAATGGAGATAGAGATAGAGATATATTACACACAGGGTGTGACTGAAAGCAGATTAAGAGGAATGGCAAATCAGGGAAGACTTCCTGGAGGAGATGACAGGAGCAGAGACCTAAAGGACCATTTAGGGATTAGCCAGAGAAGGAAGAAGTTGGGACTGGCATGACACATAGATATGGCCTTGATGCCAACTCTGACAGGCTGGGGTGTGCTGGAAGTTTGGGAAGAAAAGGTGCTCAGGCTCCCTGAGCACCCTGAGCAGCTAGCGATGCTCCCATAGCATCAGGGCAGAGAAGGACCACACCGGTACCAGGCATTTGCCATTCCTGCTCCACTCAGGGTGTTTGAGGTGGGGGTGTATGTGCAGAAGTACGGTGGAGGATTCAAGCTTGGGTGTTCAGTAAGGGCCTCCCCATTGGCTATCACCCTGATATTTCAGAAGACCCCTTGGACAGCGGCAGGGGGAGCACGTAAAGTTATTGGTGAACAAGGGCAACTGGAGTAGCATGAAGACAAAGTGGTAGATCCAGCAGAGGTTGTGAAGAAGCCATCAGTAGGACTGGGTGACCAACCCATGGGCTGGGCGAGAGGTCAGGGGGGGAGCTACAACATGGTTTTCAGGTTTCAGCCTCCAGACCTGGGTTCAAGGTGGCACTCACTATTCACCCAGCAGGAGAGCAGAGTGGGGAGCAATTTTGGATACAGGGCTGAGGGAGTGGTGGGAAGGGCCCCCCTCTGCAGGAGCAGACACATTGTGCATGAGTGCATCTGACTCCGAGTTGGGGGTGGTGCTGAGGAGAGCACAGAAGAAAGTGTGCAGACGTAGTAAGATCTGCTCTGGCCCAGGTACCTCAACAGCAGAACCCAAACCCTTCTCCACTGAAGTCTGCAAGGCTGAAGACTGACAAAGCACACTCAGGGGGTCCCTACATTCGATCCAAGAACAGGTAAATGAAGAAGAGGAGGCTGGTGACAGAGGATGGAGAAACAAAGGAGAAATAAGAAACAGGTGTCATTGAAGGTCAAGCTGACCAACTGTATACCCAGAGTGCGCCACTGAAAAGCCTGAGAGCCAAGACCCAACTGCCACCCCCCCACTCCTGTCCCAAGGCCGATCGGAACAGGTGGTTCACCTTGTTTGGATCCCTTCACCTTAGGCCTGGCCAGATTCCCAGGATCAGGTGGCCTCTGTTGGGCACTGGCTCTGCTGACAGTGAGGCCGAGATCAGCTGGCACTGCCAGGGGTTGAAGAAAAAGATGCCACCACGAAGGAGAGGAAACCAAGTCCTGATGATCTGGTTGAGCCCCTGGGTGCAGTAAGGCTTGAAAACAGAACGCAAACTAGAAAACTGGACCCTTCAGTTATTGAACCTGACAATTCTCTCCTTACCTTAATGGATTTGAGTTGAAACAGGAAAGGACACAGGACTCCCCGCCCCAACCAAGGAGTAGCACCATTGAGTGTCCTGCCTCTCCCAGATCCCCACGCTGCATTTCTGAGTTAGGAAGGTCCCTGGGGGCAGGAAAGGGAGGAGGAGATGCATCTCTGAAGCCCCTGACAAAGCCTCCCACTTGGTCCCATAGGGGGCAACTATCCCACTCCTACATGCCAGTGACGGGGAGGAGGCGAGAGTACAACTCAGGCCCTCAGAGGTGGAGCCCGATAACTGATCAGCTAACACATGAAGTTGCATGAATTGGTTTTTCCCTCACTGCGTTTCTCCTTTCAAAATCATGAGGCTTCTCTCCCTAAGCAGGAGCAGGAAAGAACTTGACCTCTTTAACAAGACAAGCTGGGTAGGAGAGCAGGCCTGGCCCAGAGAGAGGAGATCTGAGTCCACTTAGGTCCTCTTCGCTGTATCATGAACCAGACAGACGGCAGGATGGAGAACACCTCACAGGAGAGGGGAGATAGCCCTTCCCTCATTAACACTCATCGGGAATGAGCACAGCAAGAAGGCTATGAAGGTGACAAACCTGACCCATGGGTGGGGGCAGTCAGG